AGTGCTCAAAGGAAAATCGAAAATATATATGATACTGTTTTTTATTGTATTTATTGACTTAACGGTATACCAAATTTCTTCAACAACAATATGCACATTTCAATCTTTAAAAATATTTTTTTAAATAGAAATATTGAAGCACCTGATTTTAATGGAAAAATCCTATATTTTTTAGATTATCATATAGATAGGAAATATGAATAAACAATGCGTTTTTTGTACTATGTTGTGTGCAAGTTATTGTTGCTCACAATGCCATCAAATGAGTCGTGGTTTAAAATTTGAGCGTCTACTTCAACGTCTCGAAACATGTTCTAAAAGTATCATGTACCGCGATGAAATCAATTTGCTTGCACAACGAATTAAACAAGTGAGCTCATTTGAGTGATGGTCGAATTTAATTAATAGAGATATTTTAGATGGACTCAATTATGAGACCACTTCAATTTTATCCGACCTATGTTTTCGATGACACAAAGCATGTAGTAGATGTGGTCGCTAAGGAATATCTTGACAAAGCGACTGTTGACATACATCACCTTGTTCCTGCTGACGTTCCTGGAGATGGAAATTGTTTATATAATTCAATTGTTCTTTTGATGAATAATCCACTAGTGACAGCTAGTGAATTGCGAGGTATAGATTCTTTTTCTTGATATTATGCTGAATTAAGATTTGAAAACTATTTTTAGTTCGAACTGTTATTGAACTTATAACTAATGAAAACTATTACGATGCCATGTGTGCACAATATGCAGGAAATACCGATATTATTATTCAAGCAGCTTGCAAAAAGGGAATGTATTCTGAAATACACGAAGTTGCTGCATTATGCAATGTAGTACAATGCAACATCCGAAGTGTGTTTCCAAGAATTGATTTTGAATACTATAAAGCAATTTGGGATAGCGTCTTTGCACCTATTTCACCTGTTATTGGAAATTGTACCATTGTAATCTTATGGTCAAGTACTTTGCACGAAAAAGATGTTCGAGAAACGTATGGTGGCACATGGACACCAAATCATTTTGTTCCACTTCTGTCCCCGCCTATTCTTAATGAAGTCAACAGTCAATCAACATCACTTGTTGTAGTAAGTTGGTGATTTTTAAATAGATGAATCCGAATCTTGAAACTTCTCTTTAGACACCTGAAAAGAGAACTGTCAAAAACAATAGTATTACCCAAATAAGAATACCTGAATTTCAATCTTCTCCGAGCAGACGACGACGAAATGAAAATAACACCGGCAATGATTTCATTCAAACAGACGTTTCAATGGAAATGGAAACAGAAAAGAACGATAAGAAAGAAAGACGTAAAATTCAACTTCAGAAGAAAAGAGAACGAAGTCGATCCACTCGAATGAACGAAACAGCAGAGCAACGAGAAATTCGTCTACAGAAAGACGGAGAACGAAGTCAAACCAATAGAACCAATGAAACAGAAGAGGGACGTAGAATTCGTCTACAGAAAGAAAAAGAACGAACTCAAGCAAATAGAGCTAAGAAGAAGCACAAAACTATTAGTGGCGGACAAGACTTTATTCGCTCACTTTGGCCTGAACCAATTTCTCGGGATTTAAAAGAAACTCGTTTGCAGCAATTTCTAGAACAGATGTCTATGTTACAATTAGCTGAGGTCATTTGTGCAGTTTGTAATATTCGCACTCCAGCAAAAGACTCGAAGAAAATATCCATCTCAAAAATTCCTAATATGGATTTGCTGAAAGTTTCTGAAGAACTCAGAATTCTAATTAAAAATTCAATGGAAAATACTGTCACTCACATTGATGATAATAATACACATACAACATCACATATTAAAAGTATGTAGAATTAATTTGATTTAGAAAACTTACAGAGTTGTTTTTTAGATCAGTCAAATTTTGGTTCGTCATCTTTCTTCTGTGAAAACGATATTATTTTGTACAAAAATGGCTTGCTTGAAACAAACAGAGTAAAAATGNATGTTAACTTCTATGATGTTAATTGAAAGATGGAATATCCTTTAGATAAACTTCTATCTTCATATTAAATTAAAAGTCAAGAAAATACACGGAGAAATCAAGTGCTCAAAGGAAAATCGAAAATATATATGATACTGTTTTTTATTGTATTTATTGACTTAACGGTATACCAAATTTCTTCAACAACAATATGCACATTTCAATCTTTAAAAATATTTTTTAAATAGAAATATTGAAGCACCTGATTTTAATGAAAAATCCTATATTTTTTAGATTATCATATAGATAGGAAATATGAATAAACAATGCGTTTTTTGCACTATGTTGTGTGCAAGTTATTGTTGCTCACAATGTCATCAAATGAATCGTGGTTTAAAATTTGAGCGTCTACTTCAACGTCTAGAAACATGTTCTAAAAGTATCATGTACCGCGATGAAATCAATTCACTTGCACAACGAATTAAACAAGTGAGCTCATTTGAGCGATGGTCGAATTTAATTAATAGAGATATTTTAGATGGACTCAATTATGAGACCACTTCAATTCTATCCGACCTATGTTTTCGATGAAACAAAGCATGTAGTAGATGTGGTCGCTAAGGAATATCTTGACAAAGCGACTGTTGACATACATCACCTTGTTCCTGTTGACGTTCCTGGTGATGGAAATTGTTTATATAATTCAATTGTTCTTTTGATGAATAATCCATTAGTGACAGCTAGTGAATTGCGAGGTATAAATTCTTTTTCTTGATAGTATGCTGTATTAAGATTTGAAAACTATTTTTAGTTCGAACTGTTATTGAACTTATAACTAACGAAAACTATTACGATGCCTTGTGTGCACAATATGCAGGAAATACCGATATTATTATTCAAGCAGCTTGCCAAAAGGGAATGTATTCTGAAATACATGAAGTTGCTGCATTATGCAATGTACTACAATGCAACATACGAAGCGTTTATCCAAGAATTGATTTTGAATACTATAAAGCAATTTGGGACAGCGTCTTTGCACCTATTCCACCTGTTATTGGAAATTGTACCATTGTAATCTTATGGTCAAGTACTTTGTACAAAAAAGATGTTCGAGAAACGTATGGTGGCACATGGAGACCAAGTCATTTTGTTCCACTTCTGTCCCCACCTATTCTTAATGAAGTCAACAGTCAATCAACATCACTTGTTGTAGTAAGTTGGTGATTGTTAAATAGATAATCTAGAATCCTGAAACTTCTTTTTAGACACTTGAAAAGAGAACGGTCAAAAACAATACTATTACTCAAATAAGAATACCTGAATTTCAATCTTCTCCGAGCAGACGACGACGAAATGAAAATAACATCGGCAATGATTTCATCCAAACAGAAACTTCAATGGAAATGGAAACAGAAAAGAACGATAAGGAAGAAAGACGTAAAATTCAACTTCAGAAGAAAAGAGAACGAAGCCGATCCACTCGAATGAACGAAACAGCAGAGCAACGAGAAATTCGTCTACAGAAAGACAGAGAACGGACTCAAGCCAATAGAATGATTGAAACAGAAGAGCAACGAGAAATTCGTTTACAGAAAGACAGAGAATGGACTCAAGCCAATAGAATGACTGAAACAGAAGAAAGACGAGAAATTCGTCTACAGAAAGACAGAGAACGAAGTCAAACCAATAGAGCCAATGAAACAGAAGAGGAGCGCGGAATTCGTCTAAAGAAAGACAGAGAACGAACTCAAACCAATAGAACCAATGAAACAGAAGAGGGACGTCGAATCCGTCTACAGAAAGAAAAAGAACGAACTCAAGCAAATAGAGCTAAGAAGAAGCACAAAACTATTGGTGGTGGGCAAGACTTTATTCGCTCACTTTGGCCTGAACCAATTTCTCGGGATTTAAAAGAAACTCGTTTGCAGCAATTTTTAGAACAGATGTCTATGTCACAATTAGCTGAGGTCACTTGTGCAGTTTGTAATATTCGCACTCCAGCAAAAGACTCGAAGAAAATACCCATCTCAAAGATTCTTAATATGGATTTGCTGAAAGTTTCTGAAGAACTCAGAATTTTAATTAAAAATTCAATGAAAAATATTGCCAATCACATTGATGATAACAGTACACATACAACATCACATATTAAAAGTATGTAGAATTAATTTGGTTTAGAAAACTTACAGAGTTGTTTTTTAGATCAGTCAAATTTTGGTTCGTCATCTTTCTTCTGTGAAAACGATATTATTTTGTACAAAAATGGCTTGCTTGAAACAAACAGAGTAAAAATGTGCATCCTTTGTCAAAAATGCCACACTTCGCTTTCGAAAGAAAAAATACCGAAGTTTTCAGTTGCTAACAACATGTGGTTAGGTGATATACCTAAAGAATTACAAGGATTGACGATTCCAGAAGAGAAACTAATATCACTCTATCGTCACAATAGTTGTATAATAAAACTTCAATCGCCTTTTCATTCAACCACAACTGCTCAAACAGCATTGAAAGGAAACTGTATTACTTTCCTTCAAAATGTACCAAATATCGTCACTAGTTTACCACTCACACTCTCTGATCTTTGTGATACGCTTAAAGTAATCTTTATCGGAGCTCGACCACCTGATCGTCTTCATCTTCGAAAGGTATTAACCGTACGCAAGAAGAAAATTACTGCAGCATTACAATGGTTGAAAAAATATAACATACTTTATCAGAACATCAATATAAATCTCGATAATATTGCTCAATGAGCCTTATTCACCCTTCCATTGCTGGCCACGCTCATGTATAAAATGGCCATCTTATATGTCACTTATTTCTAAGAGCGGTATTGTCGCTTTTATCTGTATGTTCTCTTCCTTCTCCCTCTTCTCGCTAAGAGAAAACGTTCAACTACTACGTGTTCTCTCCTGCTTTCTATCATCAATCCTTTGATCTTTTCATTTCTTTGATCTTGTTCTATTTTCTATTTTTAAAAGAATGATTATCATCGAAAAGATAACACAGCTATCTCACCAAGAGTATGACAGTAAATATTTCCAAAAATAATTCTTATTCAATAACAAATTTATTTAAAGAATTTTGCTATACAAAAAATATTTGATAGAGAAATCGAACAACCGCTAGATAAGTCTAACTATTTCAGGCAATAGAAACCTGAAGTAAAAACTGGTGAGCTTTTGCTTTACATTTGACCAAACATAATAATCATTGATTAGACGTTGTATAAAAATATCTTCATTTTTCATTACACAAATATCAATCCAAGGTAAATCGAGGATCCCTAATAAGGTGATTAGTTGGTAATAATAAGGATGATCAGCACGAAGTCGTAGATGACCAGCGTGACGGTCCAGACAAAAGTTTTCACGAGTAAATATGACGTCGTCCCATGTTGCACCTGGATCTGCATAAACACATTTGCATTCCAAAATACCAAACGATACTTCGTCATTGATTTTTTCCATTACAATCGCATCTGGACTACAGCAAAGATAAGGTGCTGTTGGATCCACAACTAAGCCACAAGGAAAAGTTGTTGAACAAACATTATCTAAACAATAATACAAATAAAAAGATTTTCTAAGTAAAGAAATTTACCTTTTGATCGTTCCACGACATATCGACGTCGGCATGCTTCCTCATTGAGGATTCCGTGTCGCACGGCTAGATTCGAATGAAGTTTATTATGGTGTTGCTGAAGCATTGATTGTGCTAACTTCTCAAAATCATGTGTTCTTGTAACAATAGAATGAACATTTGTACCTATAAGTTTAAGATTTGATTGATGAATAGCCAATAAGAACTTATCAATGTATTCCCACTTACTTGAAATCCGTTTTCGTCTTGCTTCATGCCAATCTGCGCACGATGCCTGACCCTGTGTGTGCTTTTCTAAAGCGTCTATTTCATTACATAATATATCAATGTGATCCATGTAATATTTGAATATATTCAATGCTAAGTCTGGTAGGACTACTGGTGAAGACGTTTGAGCAATAATACGTGATGGAAGCGGTATACGAGTAACAGCAGCTTGTTTAGGTAACAGAAGATTAACAGCACCAAGAGCTCGTTGATCATATTTAATGAGTAACCGACTTAATACCGTCGATGCTTCAGGAATATAAATGTCTGAGGTAAGAAATTGTAAATATTTCGGTTTTTCGTCTTCATTCTTATCATGATTCATACGAGTAAAATTAATATCCAATAAATTCACTGGCTTCGAAGACTTGCGAGTTGGCTGGTGCCATTCTTGAAGTCGTTGTGTACATGATTCGTAAAGCTTTTTATTATCATAATCTAATAGAGCAAAACATAAAGCAGCAAGATGTTTACACGCCGCCCTTTCACCTTTTCCAGCCACACATTCACATGTTGCGTTTAATATATCAGCCGGTCGATTGATGTTTATTGTCATATTCAACTGAAAAAACATATTCAAGTTTTAAACAAGTGCACATATCCCGGCTTACTTGATATGTAGTGGATTTCTTCATTTGAGCTCTACACTTTGCTGATATTGTTCTTTTCGCATAATCACGAACTATAGTAATATTATGAATAAAATGGTCGTTGAATAATAAGTTTCCATTTTTTAATGCACCTCGATTGAGATTTCCATCACTTGCTAATACTGATGAAAAGTATTCTGTAATAGAGCCAATATCAACATTGAAAGGCCTTTTATAATCAACGATAGAAATGACATAAGATGGTGATGATGACATTTTGAGCCGCAATGTGAATATGAAAGTGACCAAGTAGATAAATAAATTCTCTCCCCATTGTCACTAATTAGAGTTCTTAATGAGATTACAAAACAAGACGCCGACATACGCATATCGTTAATTAGTTCATGATTGATACCGTTACCTTTTTGTTAATGAATAGAACAGGTTATTGATCATCGTTATCGCTATAACGAGATTATGTGAAAATCGTAAAAATGTTCCCTTTTGTAACGCAACGTTTTCATTAACAAAATGGTGAAACGATGCGTTGGTTGTCCCAACAAAGAGACTTCATCTACGAATATATCATTTCATCGATTTCCAGCCGACAAAAAATTACAACAAAGATGGCTTGCAATACTAAATCGAACAGATCTGACGGATGTATGCAACAAAAGGGTGTGTGCTGATCATTTTGATTCCAGTTCATTTGTGGAAACTCAAAGTAGCAGAAAAACTGGTGCTTTGAAAAATACTAAACGACTGAAACATGGCGTTCTACCTACGAATTTAACTACATCGGTTCGAATAACTGGTTCATCTACTTCCATTGCTACTCAAACTGATTTGGATTTGAATGGTTTATCCGATTTATTTGAAAAATTATCATTATATGAGCAGAAATTATTGAATACAACTATATGTATTGAACGCTTTCGCCACGATGATGTGAACATTAGATATTTTACTGGCTTTCGAACTTATACTCTTTTTAAATTGGTTTTTGAACTATTGGAGGTAAACTTCTATCGAATGTGTTATTTTTTCTATATAAGAAAAGATGTTTTGGTTTCAGTCTGATATCAAAAGAGCAGATGAAGGATTCTCTTTGCATATAGAGCTAGACAGATTGTTCGAAAATGACATCATTCATTCTATATATATTTTATATTTGGTTCTTTTTTTTATAGAGTCAATATGATAATCATTTTCTTATGTATAAACAATGTTCTGGTGGAAATTTCTCATGTTTACCATCAGCAGAAGCACAGAAACTGAGCAAAGAAAACCAATTTTTCCTGTTTATGATACGCTTACGTCGAGCAACTGAAGAATATGAACTAGTAAGTTATGTCAGTTAAGTATTATTTGTGCTATTTGATTTGTTTAGGGGATATTCTTTAATATATCTCAAACTACAGTTAGTCGTCTTATTATCGCTTGGACCAGATTTGTATATTCGGTCGTCAGTTCAATTTCACTCTGGCCATCGAAACAACAAGTGCAAGAAAATCTTCCTTTTGAAATGAAAAAAAACTATCCGAACGTGCGAGTAATAGTGGATTGTACTGAATTCGAACTTGAGCAACCAAGCAATCCTCAAGCTCAACAGGATACATGGTCAACTTACAAGAATACTAATACAGCGAAGGGTAAGCATCACTCTACTACTAATTTAAAGTCGAAGCCTTTTTTCATAGCATTAGTTGGTATAACACCAAATGGAATAGTATCTTATATATCTCCTCTTTATGGTGGTGCAACATCTGATCGTAGCCTATTGAATATGACGGATGCTGGAAGTCTTATAGAGTTGTTGGAAGATGGCGATCAAATAATGTCAGACCGTGGTTTTGCTTTAGACCTGAAACATACACATTTATCTCTTATTCATCCACCATTTCTTCAAGGTAAATCACAACTAGAACCGAAAAATGTCGTGGAAACTCGTATTATTGCTCGCCATCGAATACATGTTGAGCGTTGTATGGGAAGAATAAAAAATTACAAAATTCTTAATGGTATTATTCCTATGAAATCTATCTATTTATTAAACTTTTGGTTTTACACGTGCACATTTCTCACAATTTTTGATGAACCTCTCGTCAAAATTATTTGATATTTATTGTTTAAATAAATTTGTTATTGAATAAGAATTATTTTTGGAAATGTTTACTGTCATACTCTTGGTGAGATAGCTGTGTC